CAGCAAACTTTCATTTGTCCCTAAACTCCTCCACTCTTAGAGTTCTCCATCTCAGTCAGGGAGAGTGTGTAAACTTAATAAAGGGGAATTCTCAAGAACACAACAATAAAGCTGGTAAAAGAATAAAACCCAGTGAAGGAGACTGAGAAGTAGGAGAATAGGAAAATATAAGATCAAGAAAGAAATGAGAGGAATAGTCAATCCTGCAAAAGCTGTAAGGATAACTATAAAATGAGAGCTGAAAAGGATCTAGCAGATTTGGCATTTTTGAAGTCACTGATGACTACTGCTTTGGTAGGTTTGGAATATTTGACTGGGAAATAGAAAGATGGCTGTCTAGTATTAGGGATTCAATACACACACACACACACACACACACACACACACACACACACACGCCCTACAATATTTAAGCCAAACTTTCATCCAGAGTTCCAGTTCTGTACTGTATTTCTATATGCTTGGGGCTACATCTCCATCAGTATGAATTGGAAGTACCTTATATCTAACATGTCCTATAATGAACTCATGTCCTTTCCTCTTGTTTTCCTTACTTCCGAACAAATTAGTACCAAATACCCAATTCTCCTAAATTTTCTATTATGTTGAATGACACCAATACCTACCCATGCAACTACAGTAGAAAACAAACCTTGAAGATCATTCTATTTCTTCCTTCCCACCCATTTCTAGTTTATCAAATCTGATTGCAGCCCCTATTTCCACCAGTCTAACTTGAATTTTTATTAACTTCCCTGTACCTAGGCCCCATATGAATAAGCCTCCTAATTGGCTTCCTTGCCTAACAACTTCTATGCCTGACTTTCTGCTATATAGTTACTAGTTATCTTTCAATAAAGCACTTTAGTTAAAAACTGAAAGTTGATTTCAACTTCTATTCTAAGATTGCAATAATATAGTCTTAAAATAGCACACCAAGGCCTTTGAAATTTGGCTCTCATCATTCCAACCTCACTTTATGATACTTTCTCACTTGCCTTAACATAATAAAATTGAAGTACACATTGTGAGGGGTCATGCAAATATTTCCCATACTTCTCCTATCTCTGGAATAAATAGCGAGAGTTTTCGAAGTTCATATAATTTTTTTCTCCCTCAATTGTAAATACAATTTCAAAAAGTTTGGAAAATAAAAGAAAAAAGCCTTAATACTGTCATGGTAATAGAACATCTTTGTTTCCTTCCTAGCATCCCTCTATGGATATACATATTTGTATAATAAATAAAATTTTGCCAAAATATTCTTATACATTTAGCTATACCTTGTCATGGTGCAGAACAGGGATATCAAAAGTTATAAGATGTTATTTCGAGAAAAAAATGGAAGAAAAGAAGAAAAAGGGTGGGGACAAATTAGAGCTATGAATAAGGTTTAGGATGCATACCATGATGACCTACTCATCCACCATGGGTGAGCCACACATTTGGCTCTCAGTTTTTTACTAACCAATGTTAAAAACAGAAACTTTGTTAGTTATCCAAGTTCCAGTGCCCATGAGATTAAAATAAAATGTCCCAGTAATTTCAACTCATCTTCGAACAAATATAAAAAGATTTCTTCTGAGGTTTTCCTAAAGAGAATGCAGGGTGATGTACTTAACAAATTCTAGGAAGACTCCTTTTTAGAAGGAGCACATCTCATTTCACATCATCGCATATATTGAGAATTAATATAGGCAGATGTTACTTTACAAATCAGAGTGATTTTTGTAAAAATCATCTTTTTAGAAATCATTTGATAATATCAAAGCACTCAGCTCTTTGCTGGTCTGCTTTAAATCATAGCTAAATATTACTATATTGAAATGCTCATATATAGTATATATTAGTCACAGTAATGGTTGGATTTTTTAATGTTTATTTATTTTTGAGAGAGAGAAAGTGTATACATTCAGGCACATAGGGGCAAGGTGGAATGAGGAACAGAGGATCTGAAGGAGGGTCCCTGCTGACAGCAGCCAGCCCAATGTGGGGCTTGAACTCACAAACTCACTGTGAGATCATGACCTGAGCAGAAGTCAGATGCTCAACACACTGAGCCACCCACGTGCCCCAATAATGGTTGAATTTTACCCTTCACAAAATCTTTCTGAATATTGTTTCTCTTCAAAATAGAATTTTTAATAGTTCTAAGGTGAAAAGTGAAATCTTAAAAACTTGAGGTCTCCTATTGGGCAATTAAGGCTTACTTGGAAGACCAGAGTTTAGGTTGAGAAGCAAAAATTCTTCTTGATCGTGTGTATGATTCCTCTTGAGAAAGTTCTCTGAGTACAAGAATGTGGCTGGACCAGGGATGCTATAATTTTGGGCTTTTGTATGTAACAGGGAATATGATGTTATCCCAGAAGGACTCAAAAATTTACTGATACTTTAAGAAGCCTAGATACTAAAGTCTTTGTTCTTATATTCTCTGAGTTTTTCAGAACATTTGATAAGATAAAAGCAGTTTTTCTACCTTTGCCGTTATCAATGTTTGTAGGGCTTTTGAGATATGGATTCTTGTCCCTAATTAATTCTGTCACTAACTAAATGGCTGACCATGAACAGTCTAATAAAATTTCCAAGCTCTTTTTCACTCCCTTTGTAAAATGAGGGAGTTGTTGTAGGTAACTGCCTCTGTAGGATTCCTTCCAGTTATGAGTCACACTGACCCTCTGCCCACTTCTGTAAGTGAAGAATTTCCTTAGTCTGAGGGGAATAAGTGATTTCTAACGTTTCTTTAACAGTGGACCTGGAGTACCAGACAGTCCCACATTTTAGGTGAGAGCGTAGGCTTTGCAGTGGAAATCCTGGTTCCATTCTACCACTTACTAGTACATAGCCTTGGGCAAGTTTAATCTCTTCAGCAGCTCAGTGTTCCTAACTATAAAGTGAGAATACTACAAATGCTTTTTTTTTTTTTAATTTTTTTTAATGTTTACTTTTGAAAGAGAGAGAGAGAGGGAGACACAGAATCTGAAACAGGCTCCAGGCTCCCAGCTGTCAGCCCAGAGCCCGACGCGGGGCTTGAGCCCACGAACTGTGAGATCATGACCCGAGCCAAAGTTGGACGCTTAACTGACTGAGCCACCCAGGTGCCCCTACAAATTCTTTTATAGTTGTTGTATTAAATGAGACACTGTAAATCCAGCCCTTAAGTAGAGTGTCTGGCACAAGGCAAGTACTCAATCAAATGTATCCGTTTTTCACATTGTTATTGTCTTGGGTCCACTGAAATAATAGCTCTTCTAACAGCATTTCTCCAAATTGAATATCCAGCACTATTATAATTACAGTATTTAAAGGTTTTAAGGTGCCAACTTGGCTGACTAGTAAAAAAATTGAAAAGATACAGGCGCAGGGGATTTTTAAAAAATTAACCAAAACAACCTGTGTGTTGACCTTTACCCTGTAGTTCTTTTTTTTAATAACAGTCTATTAATAAACATAACTTTAAGCTGTGTGAGTTAGTGCTAATGTAATCCAGGCCAAATATGCTACCTTTCTTGTCTGCTCCAAAGAAATTTTAATGGAAACTTGGTTCACCTTTCTGTTTGATTTGAAACAAGATTGTGGGCAAGTTCTTAGATTTGGGTTCCCATCAATAGATAAGTAGTCACTTTAACTTTTGATCATTTGTAGATTATATTTAAATGTAACTAAATGTGATAAAATCATTCTTAGATGATTGAGGTAAGCTTTGAAAGCTGTATAAGTACTTATCTTCTAATTTAAAAACAATTGCCTCACCATAAAAGAAAAGGAAAAAAATTCCCCAAATGTGGGAAAGCAGAGTTCTTGGCGATGCTCTTAAACTACAGCAGGAAATATGTGTTTGTTTATTATGACCCTGGTGCTTTCACAGGCCAGATGAACTTTCAAACACAGAGTTTTCATTCTGTTTAACCAACAATTGTCACCCGACTTGTGGAAACCGATAATTTTTGCAGGGAGTTCAAGAACATATGCATAATTCCATCGGGTAGAACCTGACTTGTCCCCACAGCTTGCAGACAGACCCTCTGTGAACAAATCTAACTGAAGGGCTGCCAATGGGGTGTATCAATTAACACAAAGTAATTCGCCGGATCACCCCGTGTTAAAGGTGGATTTTATGAACTATCAAATTTTATAGCAAAGGAATTTTGAATTATCATTATATCTTTAAGAATCTTTGTTGATTCCAGGTTTCTCCTCATTCATGAGATGTGAGCCTCACCTAATTTGTACCAAGTTGTGGAAGAATAGTTACTTATATTTCTGCTAGAAAGTTCTCTGCAGGATAAAGAGTGAGTAATATGTTATATAGAGAAAGAAGAATCTACACTGATTCATAAATCTTGAATACCTGAATGTTAAATATCTAAAATGTATCAAGCCATTGAATAGAGTTTTATTATATTAGTTAAATTTCCAAAGTTTCTTAGGAACTAGTTTATTATTTTCTGTCTCCATAGCTCTATTTCCTTTAATATTTCATTGTTTAATTAACTCCCCTGGAACTTCACTTATTTTAAAAGCAATTTTAAAGGATTGTACACTGAATTTATATATAACTTTCTAAAAATTGCCCATAATTATTATTAATTTGTCAAAGTTTACTTAATTAGAATAAAGAGATTATTCCGTAGATGCGTTGTATAGCTTCTGAATTAGAGAATGACAAAAAGGGGGACTTAAAACTGATGCCAAGACAGAGGGATCTGCTGGTTCTGCTCAATATCACAGTGGTGGTTCATATGAAGTGTCCTGGTTTTGATGTCCTACTTGCTCAATCTTGTACTTTTTGGTTTGTGATAGTAAGAGAAATTGGTAGAGTGGAATATAAGGAATAGACAAAAATGGTTTAGCAAAATCCTGTCTGAGTCTGGCAGAAACCCTGCTCTCTCTCCATTTTGTCCACCCTCAAACTTGCCAAGCCTTGTTCACTTTGGCTTTATTTTAAAAATGCATTTCTGGTGAGTGAGGAAAGGTTTTGTACTGTGTTTTCAATGACTCACCCAAAATAACTCCATTGAACTTGTAAATGGTCCTGTTCTGAATGCAGATTGTGTTTGTTCTGAGATGGGCATGAAGGAGCTGCAGAAAGGAGATTAGAGAAGGGAAATGTGGTGGGAGAGGCAGGGCAGTTTATATTTATTCAAGTTCAGGCACACATCAGAATTATTTTTAAAAAACACATTGTGTGTGTGTGTGTGTGTGTGTGTGTACGTGTGTGTGTGCGTGCGTGCACGCGCGTGTGTGTATGTTAAAGATGGTTGTCTATAAGTTGGTACCATAAAGCTTGTAAAGATACATCAGAATTAGATATGGTTCATCTAGTCACCAACCTCTTTCTTTCGATTCTCATAAAATGTGGAAGGAAGATTTACCTGTGAATATATAATTTCCAAATATATGCATTGCGAAACTTTTAAAAGCGCTAAATGGCTTCAAATAGAAAATAATCATATATGTAACACAAGCTAGAAATTAATCTTAAAATAGGAGGAAAATATCTATCAATACATTGATCACATAATAGGACAGTGTTAAAACTAGGAAATGCAATAATGACATCCTATTGTGTATTGCATAAAAATGTCTAATATCAAGTAGCACTGATTATTAAATATCAATAGATATACTTCTTCAAAAGGCTTTTATGATTCAAAATGTCAGAGACCTTTATAAACAATATTTCAGGGCAGGACTGAAAAGAAAAAAAAAGAACTGACCTAAACTTTCATGAATTCATGAAACAGACCAAATAAAGCTTATTCTGTTATATAATCTTACTTCAGTCAATTGTTAATGAAGAATAGATGGGCTATTCTTACCTGTTGCTCAGAAACACCAAAGAATTCAGCCACTGAAAAGAAAACAAGCTATCTACAAGGTTTTACCATGGTGAGGGTAAATTTAGCATTATGTGGCAAAAAGAAATGGCGATCTGAGGACAGTGAAATGGATGCTAAAATGACAAGTCTTCAACATGCACAAAATCAGAAAGTACGTATACTTACCAAGATTTTGTAAATAATCTTCAAGGCAAAGTTCCAGTGGCATTAACACCTGCTTCTCCTTCTGGTGTGTACTTGAGAAAATAAGGGAAATCAAAATAGCAGATTTTTATGCTATATTAATGCTTACTTTTGACGACAATGAACTGGTATAATAATCCTTCAATTTTTGCTAATGTGGAAAAACCCTAAGAATAATAGTTTCAAGTTATAGACTATATAAATGAATTTTACTACTTTAAAATATACACAACTAGGGGCGCCTGGGTGGCTTAGTTGGTTAAGCGTCCGACTTTCGCTTGGGTCATGATCTCGCGGTTCGTGGGTTCGAGCCCCGCGTCGGGCTCTGTGCTGACTGCCAGATCAGAGCCTGGAGCCTATTTCAGAGTCTGTGTCTCCCTCTTTCTCTGACCCTCCCCTGCTCACGCTGTCTCTCTCCAAGAAATAAAATAAATAAATAAATAAATAAAATATACACAACTAGAAATACTTTACTGATTAATAATGACTTAAATACAGAAAAAAAAACTTAAATCAGACTAACCATAGTTCATTTATATGATTTGTAAATAATACTTTGAAAATTTTCTAAGAATTCATTTGTTGAGTAATATTTTCCATTCATCTTCTTTTATCTTAGTGGAAATTACTCTACTAAGTATCCCTGGAAATATTAATAGCTATACTGAGTGAGCCCAAAAGATTTCACATTGAAATGAAATTTAGAAATACCAGGCTAAACAAAGTTAAACAGTTGTCTTTTTTTCCCCCCTAATATATCTTGAGAACTTCTCAAGTCTCTTACTGCGTCATTGTGACTGGGTTGGGTGGGAGCGGTGAGAATATAACATACAGTATTTTCCAAACTTATTTCATACAGAATTTGGTTCTCCAGGCACTCCTATTGAATATACAATGCTGCTTTGTTTATTTAATCTGCAAGTCTACTTAGCTTACACCTCCCAACTTCCTTTTGTCTTAATAAGGGGTGGAAATTAGGTAAACTGCGATGCTACCACTTTCTGATCATAGTCTGCATCATTAAGATTTTGATGCATAAAATACAATTTTGATGCATAAAATGCAATTTTGATTACATAACTATTATTGAACAGACAATGCAATAACTAGAACAAAATGCTTTAGCTTACCCAAAAATAAATCTTGCTTAGTAATCTTGAGGCATGTGTTAAGGTCTGGAAAAGCAAAAAATAACTAAAGTAATTAAACTGAGCATAATCAGTTTCATTTCTAGAGATAAGCTTTTCCATTTAAAAGTGTCTAACCAGAGTAGGTTTTCTGTCCTAGCCTGAATTTATGCCATTTTTAAAATTCATCTGCATACTCATGAAGATAGATGTCACTTAACAGTAAAAGAATAGTCCTTCTATTATAACATTGATTTTTGCCTTCTACAGTATAACAATTCCAGCAGCTATCCTAAATACCTACTTCCATGTGATTCCATGTGATGCTCACATCAGTTTGGGAAGGTAGTTATCATGATTGCTATTTCACAGATAAGGAATGTGATGGCCAAAGATATTATCCGTTTTTGCCTTAGGCCATAAAACTAGAAGGATACAGAAACAGATTTCAAACTTCATTCTGACACTCAAGACACTACTGTTTCCACTACAACTTGCTGGATGGAATTATCCATATCGAATATAAATTTATTTATTTCTCTACCTTGCAAGTATCAGTGAACCAGACATTGCTCCTTATGCAAAGGTTCTGTAATGTGAATCTGCCATTGGTCTGTGATACAGTACTTATTGGGAAAAAAATCCCTGAAGAAGTAAATAGACTCTCCTCATGTATGATACGGCATTCCTTACTGAATAAAGGAAACACCTTGGGCATTTTTCAATATCTAAAAGTTGAGAATACAATTAAAACTCTTCCCATTTCAAAGCAGCTTGCTCTTTCCAGGATTTCCTTCCCTACTACTTCAGTACTCTCAACATATCACATTAAAAATGATCATGTAGAAGAAAACATACATTTGTGTTAAGGGATTTAAAGCGATTTCTATATTCTATTCTAATGTTACCTGCTGGCACTTCTCCCCCCTTTCCTTATAGCTTGACTCTGGTGGTTGACTTTTATTTTTATTACTAAAATGTTTATTATGTATTTAGAGAGAGCAGGGGAGGGATACACAGAGAAAGAGAGAGAGAGAGAATCCTAAGCAGGCTCTGCACTGCCAGTGTGGAGCCCAACATGGGGCTCAACTCACCGAACTCACCATCTGTGAGATCATGACCTGAGTCAAAATCAAGAGACCAAAGCTTAACCGACTGAGCCACCCAGATGACCCTGGCTTTTAAATATAAAAAATTTGGCACTCCGCGCACCAAATTCTCAAAAATTCTTTGTCTAAATGTATTTAGACAACAAAACTAAATGAAAAATAATTGGCCTTAGAGAAATGACGTAAAGCCAATACTTCATCCATTTGTCTGTCCATGCGGAAGAATATAAAAAACAGAACATTTACCTCAAGAAAAGTCATTGGTTCTCTGTATAAAAGTGTAAGGGCTGCAAGAGGAGTACAGAATGATGTTCTTTAATCTTTCACTGTTTACAATCCAATCTGGCTGGGAAGTCAAACATACTCTCAAAGGCCAGTTATACTATTTACTGCACAGTTCAGTCTCAAAATAAGTGATCTAGACATTCAGTTGTGAATCAGCGAATCATGGGAGAGATGTGACCAGAAGTGGTGGGAAGGTATGGTTGAGGAAAAGTTCTGGCTCAGATGAATCTTGAAATTCCTGAAGGTATTGGACAGAAAAGAACAGCATGCGGAGATAATGGAGTTGAAGCCAGGAGCCCCAGATGAGTAGGGTGGAGTCTGTTAGGGCCCTGAATGAAACTATGAAGACAGTTTATTTTGTTCTGTGTGGCTTTTGCCCACCCCTTCCAGTGCTTCCTCTCCAGCTACTGCCTGCCTCTCTCTCTCTGTCTCTCTCTCTCTCCCTCTCTCTCCCCTTTCCTACAGGCAGCTAGGCTCTAGCCTATTCTGAAGGGCCATTAAACTGTTAGCTGCGTTTTGCTATAGGATTCTTGAAGGCTGAAAAGTCTTTAAGATTCAAGAAAGAATAATAATGAAATTTCAAGCTAGTGAGATTCTAGTATCACTGTTCTAGCCCCCCCCCCCCCTTATATTTTCACAGTACGCATACCTAGGCCCAGAATATAATGGTGGTTCTGGAAAGTTAGTCTGGATTTTGGATAGGATTTTGTAGGTATTGATAAACTGTCAGAAGTTTGTGTGTGATTTTCAACAGGACTTTATAGTTTTTATACTAATGAGATTAAAAAGGAGGTAGAATGCCCAAATACATTTTTAAAATAGTTCTGAACCTTGACATCAACCTCTTTCAACCATCCGAGTCCAACATCAATGTGGATTTCCATATTAAACATTCTTTCTCAATTCATTTTCATACCTAACACAACGACAGTAACTAACTTTCGTAAAGCACGAAAGTAGCACTTCACGAAGTTTGATCTTTTCCAGTTTTGACATTTTGACAAATACCAATTAGGCGCCTCTTTCTTTCATCTTCATCCTCAAGTCCTCGGACTTCGCGAACAGTAACAACTCGGCGAGCCCTAGCCGACACTTGCTTTGACGCGGTAAAGAGGGGCACTTGGTCTTTCCACACTTGTGTGTGTGTGAGTGTGTGTGAGCGAGAGAGAAAGAGAGAGAGAGAGGGAGAGAGAGACAGAAGTTGACAGGAAACAAAGATCGCTACCAAACAAACAAGCAAACAAATCTCGCCCGATCCGCGGGCCACCGCAGGGGAACCCGGCGCCCCACTCCGCGCGCGCCGCCCCGCGCTCCGCCCCGCGCGCCCCCGGCCGGAAGGGGGCGTGGGACGCCGCCGAGGGAGGGGCGCGCAGACACGCCGCGGCCGGCCGGGCCTCTGGCGCGTCGGGCGGAGGCGGGAGGCTGGAGGCGGAGGGCGGGGAGCGGGCCGGGGGGCCGGCTGGCGCTCGTTCTCTGCCGCGCTCTCTCTGGCCACTAGCGCTCCCGCGCCGCGCCGGGCCGGCTTCATGTGAAGCGCCGGCCCTCTGCCCCCTCCCTCCCCTTCCTTCCCTCCCTCCCTCCCGTCCCCTCCTCCTCCTCCTCCTCCTTCTCCTCCTCCTCCGCCCCCTCCCGCGCCCGCTCCTGCTTCCCGGGCCCCCCAGCCCGGCTGGGCGCTGACGGCAGGGGCGGGGGTCCCGCCGCCACCGTGTCTCCCGCAGGCTCCGACTAGGGCAGCGGAGCCCCCGGTGCGGCCATGGACCGGTCCCTGGTGGCGTCGGCGGAGGCGGAGGAGGAACTGGAGTGGCAAGTGGCGAGTCGCAGGAGGAAGGCCTGGGCCAAGTGCCGCGGCTCCTGGCAGGCGTCGGAAACGGAGGACCTGTCCACAGAAGCGACGACGCAGGACGAAGACGACGACGACGAGGAGGACCTCCCGGGAGCGAAGCTGCCGGCGGCCCCGGGGAGAGGTCTGTACGCTCGGTCGAGCCGCGGTGGGCTGGGGACTCGGGGAAGCGCGGGGCTCGTGGGCGGGGGGAAAGTCTCGTGCAATCTAGGCAACTGCTCTAAGTTCTGGAAGACCGGGACGTCCCGGGCCGGCGGGGGAGAAGGGACCTTTAACTGCGCGCCCTTGACGAGGCGTTTCCAGAGTCAGCAGAGACACCCCGGTGCCATCTCGCTTTCCTTCAGACGGACAAGACCTGTGGCTTAGGCTACATTTTACCCCCAGTAGATGTTTCTTACGTGGGAGCATCCAGGTTGACCTCGCCGTCGGAGTCCCCCAGGGGTCGGTAACCAGCTGTCCCCTCACTCTGCCCTGCAGGAAACGTGCCCAACGAGAAGATCGCGATATGGCTCAAGGACTGCCGGTGAGTCCCCGCTTTCGCCTCTCGCGTCCCAAAGAGAGATCCGCGGAGATGGCACTCCGGACTGCCGCAGTCCCTGTGGGTCCCATGGCGGTGTGAGCCACAAACCGGAAAGTGAGCCGGCGGATAGCTTCCTCCTTTAAAAGATTAGAAATGGAAGTACTGTGACCGCTGGTTAGTTGGTGACCGTGTTGACTTGACAGTTGTTAGGACTTCAACCCCTCTTGTATGATGTTGGCATCAGAGATCAGAGACCTAAAACAAATAACCGTGCCATGCCTTGTTATTATGCTTGCCTTGTTGTTATTCGAGAGGATTTTCACATTTCACACGGCATTTTATTTTGCTTTTGTTTTGACATCTGTATATCTGGCACGGAATAATTTCCCTTTCAGATGTGTTTAAGATGAATTTAATTTACTTAACAACACTAACTGGCCTTAATTTTATTTCTGTGCCTTAATTCTCTTTGGATAGCCATAAAACCAGCTAACTTTTTTCTTGTAGTTTACTCCTTGGGCATGCATTTGTCAGATGGCAATGGAATGCACTAAAGGGAAATAGAGCTTTCAAGGCATTCAAACGGCATAAATCTGTTTAATTGCATGCTCTCTTTGGCATCTGGTACCAATCTGGTGGACGAAGTACAAGGGGAGATAAATCATTTTGCAAGTAAATCTTACTATAGTAACAAAGCTTGTTATCTTAATTTTTTTCCAATTTATTTTCTACTTGTAGAATATCCTATGAAGAATGTTGCTTTTTAACTTTGGTTAAGGTGTTTGCTTCTGCACATTGCCATCTCATTTTGCCCTTTTCTCAATCTTTTGTTCAAGTACCAGAGGTAGGGAAGTGTTTTCAGAGGGAAGGAGAAGAAGAAGATTTTCATATATGCCAGTTTATTTTTCTTCCTTAATCACAGATAAAATATTAGCCGCTACTCTGTTGATGTTCTGATTTGATGAATTACCTGTATTTTTGAGTAATAATGATGAATTATTAAATACTCTTATTCAGGAGTGTCATTGACCCTTTGAGATATGGTGAAGTATATGGTCCTTCTTTCTAAAGATATACCAAAAAAGAAAAAAAAAAGCTTAATGGCAAGAGAAAAGTCACATTATTTTATAATGTATAGGAATTAAGATTATATAAAATATCACATCAAGTAGACAGTAAATAAGTACACTTATCCTTCAAGATAAATGCAGTAGGCAGATGTTATTCATCAGACATATCATCACTGAAAATTCCAAGTTTTGTTGCTAATTTTATGTAGGCAGATTCTATGGTCTGCTGCTCCTTCCCTTTTAGGTTTCCTGCATAGGTTTCCTTCTTGTTCCCTGCAGTTGCACCTATTCCGTACAAAAGGGACATTCATTTGTACCTGGGAAAGCTGGAACAAACAGTCTTAGAATGTTAGCTGTATTATTGCAGATTTGATTGCTAGGACATGATGCAACTCTAGGTTTTTTCTTCTAACAGTGTAAGTTCCTTTTCAGATGGGCATCTACCTACTTTGTACATTATTTACAGGTGATCTAAAGCTAGCTTTTTCCCCTGGATACATTCTTATTTTTATTTTTATTTGTTTCCTATTGCTGTCCATATCCTGAATAAAGCTACCATTTGTTGTTCCTTAAAGAGGAT